TCTTTCAGAACATGGGGTCTTTTGTTTGAGGGCTCGGGGGTGATTCTGGCGGGTCAGCGCTTGGCAACGCTGTCACTTTTGGTGGGGATCGCCTCACTATTGAGCTACTCAAGAATGCCTGCTTCTCCTCGTCGTTGTAAGGGGTTGTTTTTTTTTCGGAATTCATATTGGTGGGTCCCAACTTCAGTTCGTTATTGCTGTTCGTGCTATCTATATCTATGGGAATATCTATGGGAAACAAAGTTCAGAGCCAGATCGGTACTAAACAGGAATCTACTTCTGAGCCTACACGACCAAGTAAATGGCAACGAACAGAAAGGCCGAACAACAGGCCGTTTCTAAAGGCCTGCATTGGTTTAAGCGGGACGGAGGCAATAATGGTATTAGCCTCCGAGCCGTTTCGGTCGGGAGTCAATCTACGTACTCGGGTCGCAGAATACCATTATCATCAGCACGAACCGTCAGTATCGTAAGGGGGCTTCTAGTATACCATACTGGGTTCGGTGGTACGGAGAGAGTGATGTACGAGTGAAGATGTTCGGTCACATTTGAAGCCGCGGGGGAGTCGGATCCCTCGTTGGCCACAGGATTTCTGTGGCCGCCAAAGCCCCGTCTTAATAATTTGGGCACACCGCCGAGGCGGCAGGGGATAGCTCAATCTGTTCCACGACTTGGGTGCCTGTTGCAACTCCATCGCGACTAAAGTCGACCGATTCCTAATAGCCCAAACTTGTGTTGGTCTACTTGATGCATAGATCCCACAGTTTATCATCGTTTGAAAATTTAACGTTGATTAATTAATTAAATAAATAAATACATAATTGAATAATATGTTAGTTAAATAATTAGTCAATTAATTCGTTAAACAATTAATATTTCCCATGCTAGGCAATAATTATTATATTTATGCAGCTTTTAGTTTGAATTATTTAAAGTTGTTGCTTTGGCGCGCGAACATTTTTCTTAAAATTTTTTTTTTTAATCTTCTCTCACGGAGACTTACGATAAGTAGTCAAATCTTAATCTAAAATAGTTCTTAAATTATTTACAATTAAATATTTGAATTACGGGGAGGTCTCATCGTCGGAGTCCTGTATGGCTTGCCTGCCAAGTTAAATTCTTCGCAAGTCTAATTGGATGGTTCCGAAGCTTAAGCTGGTACTTTGCTTTCACCTTGGCGATTTCATCTTTAACAGGTTCCACATTTAAATCTTTCCGGATATTTTCACTCCGAATGTACCTGGGTGCCCCAGCGATGGTTCTCAGTATCTTCGATTGAGATCTCTCGATTAACTCTAAATTACTAATGGAAGAGTTTCCCCATAGTTCAGAGCTATATGTCCAAATTGTTTTGAGAACTACATTGTACAAGAGTACTTTGTACTCCAGTTTTAGTGGTGAACGGACGTTTATAAGCCAATGTAGATTAATAGCTTTTAGTTTCAATTGATCTCTCTTCGCTTTGATGTGTTTGCGCCAAATAAACATTCTATCTAAATGGACACCAAGGTAAGTTACATCGTTTTTTTGTGGAATATTGATGTTGTTTAGCGACAATGGAGGACAAGTTTGTTTGTTTAGGGTAAAGGTGACAAGTTTGCACTTTTGCTCGTTTACACGTATGCGCCAGTCTGCTAGCCATTTTTCTATGGCCACGAGGTGAGATGATAAGAGTTCTGTACCTCTTGTTGGGCACTTGGAGAGACCTGGGATGGCAGTTTGACTGTTTGTCGGTATATCTGCTGGGTATAAGCTATACAGTGTCGGTTCAAGCACGCTTCCTTGGGGTGCACCAGCTTCAATTGGATGGTATTCGGAGAGGAAATCTTTGCATCTAACTGCGAAACTTCTTTGCTGTATGTATGACTCCAGTATTTTATGGATGTTCTGTGGAAGTAATATTTTGATTTTGAGAACTAACGCTTGGGCGACATCCAGAAAAACAGCGGAGCAATATTTTCGTTTGTCAAATGCATTTCGTATCTCAGAGGTTATTCGGTTAACTTGTTAAATAGTTCCAAGTTTTTTGCGAAAACCAAATTGGTGATTTGGGATTGCACTGTTGGTGTGTATGTGCTGCTTGATGCGATGCAGGAGTAGTTTTTCGAATATCTTCGATAGGCACGGCAGGAGACTGATAGGTATATATGATGATGGCTGAGACTTGTCCTTTCCGGCTTTATGGATCATTGTGATGACAGATTTTCTCCATTGTTGAGGATAATAGCCCCATTTCATCATGCTGTTGAAAATAATGGTGAGAAAATATACTGCACAGCTCGGCAATTCAATGATCATTTTGGGGGAAATTAAAATTCAAGATTGGTTAGTGGGAGCACAAAGCTATTTGTTGCTGGATGTGGTTTGAAGACGTTTTCTAAATGGGCGTCAAATAGATTTGTCTTCTCTTCGTTGCTGCGAGCCCACTTTCCTCTTTGTCTACGTAATGGTGATTCACTCTCGATTGGTGGACATACGCCTGATTTAGCTTTCCACAATGGGAATCGTTTGCTGTTTGGGGAGAGTTGCTCCATATAGTCCATCTTCTAGGGCTTTGCGTAGTAGATGGTTGGCTATTTTAAACCGCTCCTTTGAGTCAGGTGATCTGTGCACTTGCCACTCCCGCCGAAGCCTTCTATATTTCGTAGCAGCTCTTTAATATGCCTGGGAACACTACTGCTATTGTAAGGTTTATAAGCTGTGATTTCTGGAGTGGAATGTTTTGCCGCCAGTGACATTAGAGACACTAATGCTTCAACTGAGGTATCTATGTCATCTTTGCAGTTAATGTTTGGGCAGCCATCAATATGGGAACTTACGTACTTCCTGTATTTAAGCCAGTCAGTTTTTCTAGATGTTAAAAAGTGTGGGCGCTCCGAGATCTGTTAAGTGCTCCACACAAATCTGAGCCTGTGGCACTTTTCTTGTAACAGCAAAATCAATCAAGTCTGGTTGCTCCTTTGAATCTGTGGGCCAATATGTAGGCCAGCCCGGAGAAATAAAGTCAAGCTTGTTTCGTGGTGTTATTATAGCGTTATATAGTTGTCTTCCTTTCGGGTTGATGAGTCGGGATCCCCAATGTGTGTGTTTGGCATTGTAGTCACCAGCTGCTATGAAGCGGTCGAAGAAATGTATAAATTCTGCCTCAGAAACGGAGAAGCGGGGTGGGCGGTATACTGCAGCTAGGCTTAATTAGCCGCTTTGTATTTTGATATGAATTGTTGAATATGAATAAGTTGTACCAAATGATGGCAACGGATACTGCCTGATGCGACGCTTTATCAGGATGCCAGTACCTCCATGAGCCTTACCATCGGGATGATTGGTCGCATAGAAGTTGTAGCCATTGAGATGAAAATATTTTTTTTATTTTTATTTGTTATGTGAGTCTCTGATATGAGCATGGCGTCCATGTCACATTTATTTAGGAACTGCAAGAGCTCGCATTTGTGCTGTGAAATGCCGTTCGCGCGCGAACATAAGCTTACATTTTGTGAGCTAAGCTTACAGTTTGTTAGCTGGTCACCCTAGTAATAGGATCCACATTACTTGATCCGGCTCAAGCGGTTCGCGGTCGGGAACTAGTTCCGTTTCCATATGATTATATTTGCCTGTGGTCTGGCAGCTCTAACCAGTGTAAAAAAAATTACACGGGATACAGAAACTGGCCGGCGGCCGCAACTATACAATTATATCAATAATAATACCTGCCAAAAGTTATGAGCTTTGCCAATTTGCAGCAGTTTCCTTTTCTGCCCCAAGAAAAATTTCAAAAAACCAATGTGCAGTTTTTCTTGGAATTTTTCTGAGAGTATACAAACTAAGTTTGAAGTTAATCAGATGAAAATTGTATGTTTTTCATACAAATGTTGGAGCCTGTTTTCCCCCCTTTGGAGCTCGAGTTTTCCAAAATCCCTTCTTAGTGGGCATCTACACTATAAAAGGATTCTTGAGTCCAAATATCAACTGTCATAATGACACTTAGTATACGGACACATAATCACTAACTGGAGCCATTTGCCAAACTCAAAAATTCCAAGAATTACGGGAGTTATGGAAAATCACTAATTGTGATAATAGGGGAAGGAGGGAATTTCCAAAATACAAATTTCCTGCGTGTTCACATAGTGCATCTGAGACTAGATCTCATAGCTTCGGAGATTTAGGTGATTACACGAGCGGCGTTTCCGAAAAAATGGGGGAAGTGGGGAGGAAAATCCAAAAAATAAAACAAACTCGTATATCGTACACACATAAGACATCTTTGTGCAACATTTGGTGTCTCTATCTCTTATAGTCTGTGAGATCCAGGAGTTCATACAGACGGACGGACAGACATAGATCGCCTCGTTTTTTCATGCTGATCAAGAATATATATATTTTGTGGGGTCTGTCACGCGAATTGTGGGGAAGTGGGGGGGGAGGGGTTGCATCAGAAAAAAAAAACAAACTCGTCCTTTCTCGGACTTATGAGAATCTGGACACAAGTTTGTTTATTCTAGCACTTATACTTTCTGAGATCCATGCGTTCATACAGACGGACAGACAGTATTCTTTATCTGCGGTCCCTGCTAATAACGTTTTAATTTTTTCATTTCATTTATCTGTGAAATTATGTAATTTTTTACACTTTTAATGAATATTCTTCGGTTCTATTATTTGTACCGGTCGTGCTGATGCAAGTCTTCTTCTTTTATTTATAACTCTCGCTGTGTTGTAATAATATTAAGCTTGTTGTTATAACTACATGGTGAACAAGGAAAAGCACAGCCACCCTATGAGGCTTGTGCAAAAGCTGTAAAAGCCGCAACCTCATAAATTTCCAAGTGATTTTGTCCATTGCCAAATTCCTAAGCAACGGGTTCAAGTGAATGCAATCAAATTTTGTATATATATGTATATTTCATTATTTGTAAAACAGAAAAATGTGTTATAAAAAATAACAAAAATCAGATTAAAAAGCTTGACTTAAAAAATCAACTACACAATTCTATTCGCAGAAGAGAAACGACAACAAAGCCAACTTTACTACCAACAGCAACGTTAGTCAGCAGTGGTTTCGGCGTCGGTGGTGTAACTGCATCCACAGCTGCGCCCAAACTGGAAAACAGCACTATGCGTATAACAACCAAAACAAAAGTATCCACAGGTAGTCGAAGAAACAATATAAGTAAGTACTACTTCAGCATGTTGATATGTTTCACTTGTTCTCAATGGGTAATATCAAAATTGTGCTAATATAACAAGTAACTATAACTGTACATACACTGCGGGTCATCAGGTTAGCGCCACTATCTATTAATTTTTTATAGGCTACTATTGTTGAGTATTTGCACACATTATACAGCCATGATTGTGCTCTCTTTGAGAAGGAAATGAACCACGATAGAAGTACTGTTATATGTTCATGTGTTCTTTGTTTTATTTTTGAAAAAAAAAGCTTGCACTAATTTTGCTTCAGCAAATAAGCGCCCCTAAATTCAATTTTGACACGTACGGACACAATTTTTTGATGTTGCTCAATCAATTTTTATACCCTGTACCCAAAGGGTGAAAGGGCATACTACCGGATTTTTTTACTCAGATTTGGCAAATACCTCCAGTTAGTGACTATCATAGTCATAGTCAGACTATGAGTCTGTATGCCAAGTATGTTCGATCACCCTTACTGAAAATCCAATCAAATCAGATCTTTGCTTGGTTGCAAACGAGCTCGAACGAGTTGAGTACTCTCAGAATTTTTCTTATGATCGAACTTGCATGAGCAATCTTTCTATTTTTACGAACAAGCACCGGTCTTGATTGGTTTGCTTTCGAACAGTTTAGGCTCGGTCACTTCGAGTATTCTGTTCGTTGCGAACGGGTACCAGCATTGATTGGTTTGCTTTCAAACACTTCAGGCTCGGTCACTTTGTTAAAGATGACTGGGTCCTGATCGAAGCAAACCAGACTTTGCAGAATGAGCGTTTGATCGAACGAGTATAGTGCCGTTATTGGTCGAGTATTGTTTGGGTATTGCGCGAGCTATACTCGGGTGTTACTCGAGTATTGCGCAGGTTTTAACCGAGCATGACCGTATAAAATATGCATGTATGTACATATTTATGTATTCATGTGTTCTTTGCAAATATGCGCAAACATGTGTATATGTATATAGGTATTTTAAATAAAGAGGTACAGAATGAAAAGAAACAAGAAAGGAATGCTAAAGTCGAGCAGGCTCAACTCTTAAATACCCTGTACCACCCTACAAAAAAAAAATTAAATTAATGTAATTAATTAATTAATTTAATTAATTAACTAAATTAAATATAAAATATTCCATACATGCATACATACATTTACATCAGAGTGAAACTTGGTATACGGATATATAATCACTAACTGGATGTGTCTACCAAATTTTAGTTCAAAATTCCAAGAATTACGGGAGTTAAAAAAAATAAAGAATAGGGGAGGAGTGGGGGGTGCATCGGAAAAAAAATGAACAAACTCGTCCTTTCTCGGGCTCAGAAGAATTTGGAATTTTTCATTGAAATTCGAAAATACCTCCATTTAGCGATTATGAGTCTGAATGCTAAGTTTTATAATGATAGGCCGATTTTCTGTGCTACCAGTACGTAAAATTGCAGACAAAATGGGCTGACATAGAAAAACGATTGCCAAAAAGGCGTATGGATACAACTTCAAAGGCGACAATTATAAAGTATCAATCATGAAATACCCTCTACACCACAAAACCAAATTTTGTTATTTAAAAAAAAAAAACATAGTAATTATATTAATGAAATTAGATTAATAAAATACTTGTATATAGAGTCTGATAGTATCCAAAGAATACATCAATGTTGTCTATGTGTATGTGGTTGTGTATGTGTCAGGGTTCGTAAAATGCGAGCTCAACTCATTCGGACCCGACTGAAGCCATGAGTAGTGTGAGCCGGCCGTGGTTCACTGTGAGCCACTGTCGACAGCAAGAGAGTGCCGTACGAGCTGGCCTGCAGAAGCCGAGCGCTCGTTCGTGCCAGGCAGGCATATGTACATATGTGTGAAATTTGTATGATGGTATGCTGGTATATATATATTTTTAAGGCGAAATGATAGCCGAAAAAAATGAATAAAATATCAAAGTCACATTTTTTCGGACATGGGAAAATCTGGATACCAAGTTTGGCTATTCTAACTTTTATACTTTCTGAAATCTTAGCGTTCATATAGATGGACATGGCTATATAGACTCGTATGGCCATACTGATCAAGAATATATATTCTTAAGGGGGTCTTCCACGTCTTCTTCTGGGTGTTACATATATTCGAACTAAACTAGTACACGGTTTTGCCCTTTGGGTACAGGGTATAAAACTTTTGTGATCAATCGGTCCTTGTTTATTTGTAAAAAACCACTTAATTATTGGCCAATCTTCCACTTCCAAAATCTCGGATCTGAAATCTGAAATTATAATTGCCTGGCTGCAGTCCCGCAATCTTTCACATGACCGTCACCAATCGGGTAGCTTATATTCAGACGCTATCAACAGTCACACGGTATCAGCACGCACCATCAAGTACCAACTAGTAGACAGCCTATTGTGGGGAAGCAGCGCATACAATGAATAAATTTCTGCAAAATCAAATGGAGGTTACCTTGCATATCGTACTAAAAGCCAAACAAAGAAGGATATTCTTTAACAAAAGGACTCAATCACTCTGGCACTCATATTAATACACCTACATACATGAAAAAAATACAAATTGGGCAATAACGATATGTATGTATGTATGCTATTTATCCAGCATTCAAAATTCGTTCAAATCAGTTGATTCGAAGAAAAGTTAGAAGCGAAACAATTTCAGTATGCTCACAAATTGCCCGTCATGCCCGTCTTTGCTGGGCTAAGTAAAATGTGCCTATGATTAAAAGATTATTTACTATATGATATTCTTCTTTCGCCGCTCTTTAAAGTTTTTTAAAGAGTTCATTCGTCGAACCTTTCAAAAAGCAAATATAGTACAAGTACTATGTATAGTTATACGTAGATGCATACATATGTACATATGTATCTTCGTTACGCACCGGGCGGACTGCCAGTCCTCACTTAACTGTGTGCTTCCTCAACACGTTGTACACACGGTCGAGTTATCCCCGAAAAGTCCGACGCGGGACATTTAATTTTGATTTATAAATAGGATCGTCCCGCCAAAATCGGAGCGTTCGGCAACGCTGATATGTACATACATTTAAATTTTTCATGCAGGCGTTATCCGCCTATATACATACATACATATATAAGTATGTATTAAATTTTTTAATTCAACACTCATTTGTGTCTTCAATTCCAAATATGATTGTTGTGAATATAAAAGGTGTGTTTCTGCTTTTGTAAATCGCATGAATACACTCACAAAATAGGCTTAACGGTAAATGACTCTTAGATTTGTTCAGAATACATTTGTAGCGTTGTTAGCTAACACTAAAACGGTAAGTCGCTGTAAATATGCGATCAGCTGAGATGCTAGAGATGGGCATGTGTCGGATGCTCTATGTGCTAGAGCATCAAAACTATCGATAGTTGAATCCGTCGATACAATCAATAATTCCATCGAAGTTTGAATGCAATTAACAGAAAATTTAAATAATAACATCTTATAATTTATTGAGATCAATTAAAACAAATCATATACAAACATACATATGTACATCTGCCCGCAACGCGAAGCAGAATATGCGTAGGTCCGCTTTCGGTTTCTGCTTTACTATCGCTTACGCCGTCGTCGCCTAGCGACCGTAACTGCAAACTTTTGGCATTTTGCCTTTGAAATTACAGGCGTAAAAGATCAAAACGAAAGAAGAAGCGCGAGCCAATGACTTGCAGTTGTTGTTGTTTTTAGTTTTAAAAAATTGATTTAAAACCATAGAACATTATTTATTACAATCAAACAACAGTGCTCGATTGTCCAATTTATACATACATACATACATGCTATATATGTACTTTTTACTTTTTCAACCGTACGTGGAGAACCGCACACATAGACACGAACTGTTGCTTGTTCTGTGTGTGAGTGATAATGTCCCCAACTATTTGATATTTGCGTTCTTTGTATTTGTTGTTGCTGCATAAAGTTACTAATAAAAACCCTAATGCCAAATGTACTAAACAAAGAAAAAATTACTTTTAAAAATGTTAAATAATTTTTAATTAATTAACATTTCTTGCTCTGTCAGTGCAAGACGAATGAACATACATAGATGTGTACATATGTATGTGTGTACATTCACACATTAGTGTCTCACAGTTTGCTTTGGCTATTTCAATCGTTTGCACTTAACTACGTGAACAACTGCTTGTATGTGTGTGTGTATGTATACTAGTTATGTAAATGTCCCCAACTGTTTGATATTTTGTATTGTTTGTTCTGCCTGCATTTGTAGAATGCATATTTTGAAAATCCTTGAACGTAAAGTTGTAGATTTAGTTACGTAGATTACATTACCCAAATTTGACCTCGATCGGACGAAATTTATAACACAAACTTTTCATTTGAAAAAGTGAATAAATAATAAAACCCCAATAATTCAAGCTCCACCACAAATTTCGAAAATCCGAGTATGCATTTTTGTTTGTATTCTTTTATAGATTATCAAACTCAAACTTAAAGTTGATTGGTGGAAATCTGAAGATTTTTCAAACAAACTTTGGAGCTCTTTTTCCCCCTTTGGAGCTCGAATTTTCCTAAATCAATTTTTATTGCGCACCTACACTATGATAGGATACTTGACCCCAAATTTCAGCTTTCTAGCTCTTACCATTTGGGCTGTGGGCTATTGACACGGTTTCCTCTTGTGCCCCAAAAAAGACCCAATAATTCAGTCTCCAAGAAAATATTCAAAAAACCAAGTATGCAACTTTCTTTGTATTTTTTTTATTGATTTTAGAAACCAAGTTGTTCGGAGCAGAACGCTCAAAATTAACGAATATTGGCTGAAATGTTAAATTCCGAAAATATGTAAACAATAGTCTAAGCTTTCACTTATGTTAATTGCATTCTCACATTGTGCTCAATATTTGCACTCAATATTTGTCCACTATCCATTCTGAGCTTTCGCATGCAGCTGAAGCTGCAGCCGCGGTAGCCAGACTACTCCCAATTTGATCACGCCTATTATTT